GAAAAGCCACATCGACCCCATGTGTTTCTCATGCTCATGAGCACACTCCTTCTCTTTTATCTCGGAATGAAGGGCTTATTGCTTCGGGCGCTCTCTCTATCGATACAACCCATTGTAAAAGTAGTAACCCTTAGGTTTGAATTCTTTCTTATCATGCTTTCTAACAAAGCCTTTTGATTTATATGTTTTATCTTGCCCATCTTTATACCTCTTCTTTCCATATGCTCCCCTACCTCTACCCTTAAAGACTTTCTTGGGTTTAAAGGTTTCTACTTTCTTTTTATACTCAATTAAGATTTTAGCTATGGCTATATCTTTGATGAGGGTCTTAGGGTATCGACCACGCACATCTTGTTGTGCCCATTATTGAAGTCTCTTAATAAAATCATACATATAATCATAATCGGGTTTGCCATAGACCTAAAGTTTAAGAAAAACATATTCTTAAACATACTCATGAATAATTTTCATATACTTCAACATTCTTAGCTTATCCCATGCTTCCCAATCTATTTCCTCATGATAGAATTAAGCATACATAATTTTTTTGAATTCATCCCAACTAGGCAACTCTTGATTCTCCTTTTTAAGCTCTTGGTGCTTCATAATTTATCATAAAATAACATCTTTTATAAGGTAGAGAGTAGTATTCTTGATGCGACTCCTATCCTCGCTCAAGCCCACTGCCTCAAAATATTACCCCACTTACAAAAAGAAGTTATCGACTTCCTTAGCATCCCACTTGTCGACATAGTGCCTTGGTCTCGATACTTTAACTTTTGGTGTGTCCCATAAGACCACATCATTAGAGATGGCTTCTCGATAATTTACCCAATCTCTTTTAAGTTGTTTAAGATTTACTCATACCTAATCATAGACTCTTAATGTTTCTTGAACATTTCCCTCATTCAATCCACAAAGGCATCCTTTCAATAGCACCTTTTTTGTCATACCTCTCAACCGTCTCCACTTGAGCTTGAAGATTGAAGAGTACCTCATGTAGGCCTTCCATGCTTAATGTCTCCCCCTCATCATCTCCCTTTATCTCCTTAAGTCTTTCTTTGAAATGAGTAAGGTGTTCCTCTCGCCCTTAAGAACTACTCCTTGAAGGGCAATCAACATATCAAGAGACTTTCCTCTTCCTTTCTTAGGTCGAGGAGGTAGAGTCTCCTTCCTAGTATCCCCAGCAACATCCTCAACACTAGAGCTAAACATGCTTACTCTTTTAAACACTTAACTAGCTGTAAGCTTATCCATGCTTGATAGAACTCTTGCTCTAATACTAATTGTCATGGACTTGGCCTTTCCCAAGCTCTTGTACGGCACTTGGCTCACTTCTTCTCGAAGCCAAATCAAGTCATCCTTTTCTCACATAAAGCTATCAAGCAAGAAAAACACACACAAGAGATATAAGAACTTTTTGTATTGCTCCCTCTAGGATTACACTTTCTTTGATTTTTGGATGTCTTAGACAAATAAAGGCCACACCTATTTATATTCCTCCACCTCTTTAGTGGATAATTAGGATCTATGTGATCTAATGACTATAATTGATTCTCTAGAATTATCTTAGCTAGATATTTATAAAAGAAACTATTTATATATGTATAAGTTAGAATAATGAGGGACTCTCAAGAATTCTTTAGGACATGTCTAAATTTCTCTTAGACACCTTAGAGGCTTTTCCATCGTTTCATAATCTTTTAAAGGCTTTCGGGCTTATCTATATTTCTAATAAGCCTCTAGAAAAATCCCTCTTTTATGCGAGGCATAACATGATGCTTCCTTCCCTATTAATATTTGCTTCGATTTTAATGAGTAATTTAGATATTTATCATTGCCTCGTATTCATGCTAATTTATATAGGTCATTGCATATTAGTGTTTTCATTGGCATTTCTTTATGGATCTTTTCATTAGCATTGGCTTCTTAGAAAATCACTCGATGCTTCCATCTCTATTAATAGTTGCTTTTGATTTTGATAAGGAGCAATTTAGATATATATCTTTGCCTCTTATTCATGTTCCTCTTATTCATGTTGCTTTATATGGGTCGTTGGACATTGGTGGTTTTGGAGACTCATCCATTTATTTCTCCTACGATTCTCCCAAGGTTTTAGAGGTATGGCTAATAAATGAATATGTTGTGGTTGAATCTCAAGCCAATGTGCTTGTCTTGGCAATGAACCCTATTTGGGGTGCCACATTCATGGCTTGTCTTAAAATTCTTCGAAAATGGAAACGTTCGGTATCATACAATGGAGAACTATGGTTACATATACATAACGAAAAAGTTCTACAAGTATAAACCTTATCATGCTAATGGAGCATAAAAAATCCATGCATTGGTTGTTAACGCTCTAAACCTTGCTTTACTCAAAGATATCATGATTGAGGATCATTAACAAATAAAACTCAAAGAATAGAGGAAAATGAATAGTGATTTTCACTGTTCATCTTCTAATAAAATACTATAGATGTACTAAAAATAAGGATGGCATTTTCATAATTTTAGCTATTTTTGGGCATTTATATTCAAAGTTTACCACATATTTCATTTTGGTTCCCGAAGTTTTAAAATGAAAATTTTATCCCCGAACTCGTTTCATCCCTTTGCCTATTGCATTAGGTCGTTGTAGTGGCCTACTTCTACAAAGCCCAAAATAGGCAAGCAGTGTCCGCCTCCTTTTTTTTTTTTTTTTTCTTTGGTTTTTTTCCATCAATTTATTTTTTTATTATTGAATTAGATGTGAAAATTATGAAAAATCAATCACTATTTCTTTCTCTTTTTTTGTTGATTTTTTTTGCACCAATTTATGTTTATTATTATTATTATTATTATTATTGAATTGAATGTGAAAATTATGAAAATCAATTTTTTTTTCACACAAACTGATGATTATGAAATATATATGATATATTTTTAGTTTTTAAAATAAACATACATAACAAATTATATTACTCTTATTATTTAAAATTTATCCTTTCATTTTTCCGTTTCTTATAAAAATTCTCATCAAATTAATTTTTTATTTTTTATTTAATTTTATTTTTTAATAAATGTAATTTATTTTCTCTTACGTATAGATTTTCGAATAATTTTTTTTGTATTTTTTTTTATTTGCTTATTTTTTTATATAATCAAATATTAAAAATAAAATTCATGTATTTTATTTACTTATTCTTTATATAATTAAATTTTATTGAAATCAATTTTGTAATTTTTTTTATTGCAATCTACTAACTTCAATATGCTTTTTACAATTTATTTTTTTTTTAAAAAAAATGATTTATGTTGCACGTTCTAACCCAATAAATATGATCATGATGTATAAAAAAAATATGCATTAGATTTATTGATTTTATTATAAATTAACTATGTATATTAACATCTATGCTCATAACACCAACTATTTGCTATTATTTTTTTATATTTTATTTTTTTTCAAATAAAATAATTAAAATAATGTTTTAAAAAACAACCTAATAATTCAAATATAATATTTGATATTAATATTATTCATCATTTTTTAAATAAAGATACATAAATCAAATGTATATATTCTAAAAAAAAAATTCTTCTTATGAGTATTAAACAAAAATAAAAAAGATTTATTTGTTAATTTTTATATAGATTTTATATTAATTGTTGCTTTATTTATTCAATATAATGTTATAAAAAACATTGAAATGTTTTTTTTTTTAATTTTATATTTAGGTTATGATGAGTTTTTGTTTAACAAGAGATGCATAAAAAAGAACAAATCGTGTCTTTTTTAACTACTAAATTTATTAAAGAAAATAGATGTAAAATTTTGATAAAAATTATAAAATTATATGACATTTTATCTTTAATTTAATATATTTTTATTAACTGATAGCATAATACATATTATCAAACTAAAATAAATATGGTTAGTTTGTTTGTAGTGTAGCATAGGAAGCAAACGGGTAGATAGCTAAAAAGGTTTAAAGAAACATGAATGAAGCTAGAAATAAATCTACATTTAATTTTAGTGTCTTACCAACATGTTCGTAGATTGAGCAGTACAACCTTACCGTGATAATAAGATAGTATAAAACAATATAAAAATGAATTATTTTAAAATTTTTAGATAAATCTACTTTATAGAAATAAAAAATAAAAACTCTCATATTGATTTTTTTAATCAGATAATAATAAAAAAAGACTATAAAATTACATTAAAATGTGCAAGTACAAACCTCGTTGACTTTGTTATTTTTCTATATTGATACTTAATATCAAAACTTATAAAATTTTTTTACTTACATGCCTAAATATAACTAATTTCTCTAAAAACAAAGTTCAAATTGTTTATTTGCAAGGTTAAAAAAAATATTTAAATAGATAGGCATGCTAATTTAGTCTAATAATGTATTAAAATCCAATAAAAAAGCCTAATTTCAGTAATTCAATAAAAAATTTAATTTATAAAAAAAGTACAACAATAAAATTGAACACGGTAAGAATAATTATAAACCTCGAATAATTGAAATATATAAGGATTGAAACGAAAAAGGAAAAAAAATTGCAGCATGTAGAGTAAAAAATCACATAATTGAAACTCCAATTATCAAAATAGAAGTAAGATCACAAAACAAGGATGAAAATGAATAAATAATTTGTAAAAAGCCAACCCCCCCCCCCCCCCCCCCCAAAAAAAAAAGCTTAGCTACTGCTAAAAGCAGAACTACGTTTAGTTTTAATTTATTTGTTAATATTAATTTTGGGATTAACTAATGTTGACAGTTGTGATATTAATAGATTGGCTGAATACAAGTAATCATCATCTACCATTACTATTGACTTAACATTTTTCTTTCATTGTAACCAGTACTTGCATCAAAAACACAACAGTAGGGACTTTCCCGCCGCGGAACCAAACATGAACAACTGCAGCTGGTCATTCCATAAACATTGCTTAAGGTCAAGTATAGCAGGAAAAGTTACAAGATCTCTATCATTTCGAAATTAACTACCGAGGTTCTAAGATTGAGGTTGAACATGATTCGGTTGATAAGTGGCAGTGTTGGCATGGGAGGATGAAAGAATAGGTTGCATTTGAGTTGAATTGTTTTGCTGCATACATAACAGTTTGCTGCAGGTTGGGATTGCATTGCTGCGTTAATGGGTGCAGCGAACTTGGGCCGCGTTGACGCGTGACAGACTTGGAGTTGGGACAATGGGTTGGGCTTCACAATTGGGCTGCCGTTGAAGATTTTGTGCAGCTTGTTGGGCCGAAAAATAGGCTGTTGGCTGGTCAGTTGAGGGTTGCGTGAAGTAGGGCAGGAAAGCTGGGCTGGACAGATTGATGTTGAAGCAGAGAAGAAGATCTGTTGATTTAGCTGGACACTTTGAAATCAGATCTGCGGAATCAGATGAATGACAGACATGACAGACATGACAGGCAGTAGCTGGAGCAACAATGGGAAAACTCCCGCTTTACGGTTCAAGTGCTGGAGGAGAGGAGGATGAAATTGCAAAAGAAAAACAGAGTCATTAAATTGCACATGGCAAGAAATATATGATATCGGTAATTTAAACAATAAATAAAAAAAATACAAGAAATGGTGCGAAAATCCATTTTATGCTTATTACGAGACCATAAGTGTGGAAAATTAAGACACCTAAAGATTTAAGGAACGTGTAATCATGTTTTTGGTCAAACAAAATTTTAAATAGTGATTTATTTTTAAAAAATTTAACTAGGCATTCTATTAATTAAAAAAAAATGTAATGTCAAAACCTAAATTCCAAAACTTTATTGGGACTTTAGTATTTTATAGAAGAGTTAACCCAGTTTTCATTATATGACCATAGATTCCACCATACTATTTATTAATGTGTACCATGACATATAATATGATGATCAATTCTAATATTTTTTAAAAAATAATTTAAGGGTTGAAATTCATCCCTCCAATTATTTTATACCTTCTTAATTTTACAATTAAATTGTCTTTCAACAAAAGTTTGCAATTGAAGAAAAATATTAAAAACATAAAAAAAAAATTTTAATGAAGTAGAACAAAATAAATTTTAAATAATAATCAATAAAATAACATAATATATGTGACCATCAATAAAAGTGGTAGATGATAATACTTATACATCACTAAAAATTAAATAAAAAACACGATTACTACAATGTTTGTTAGTACTAAGAGACAACCTATAATACTTTTCTAGAAGGCAAAAAACAAATTGATTATTGAAATTTCCACTAGAGTGTGGTAATGGATTATTTTTATAAAACAAAACTCAAAACTCGAATATACACATGCCTCAACCTAGACCGTCAAATTTGGAAAGATGCTTGAACAATAAAGCTTTTGGGTTTAAAGATCTAGACAAGACATACTAATAATCTTTACATGGTACGGATAGAATTTGGGTATGTTGAACCCAATCCTTTAAACAAAAAGTAGAATGGTAAAATCTCCAAAATAACTTGTTGTCATAGGCTAATCTTTTAACCAATAATAAAGGTTTGACAATTTGAGGGACAAGCAAAACATCAAACATACGTAAAATCCTAGTAGATATATAAATGTGAGTAGTGCTAATATTTTTAGTACTTGAAAGAGAGAATGTGAGTAGATATATAAAATCCTAGAGTGCACTTGAAAGAGAAAAATGAAATTTGGTATGAAATGTATTATTTCCTTACATCCATGCATGATTACACATATTGATCTTCGGCTTATAGTTTGCCTTGTGGAGTAGGTGAGCTAAATGATTCATGAAGACATGTTGTGGCATTGAGAATGCTACCATGAACAAGTCGAGTTTGCCATAGTATTTACTATATATATAAGTTTAAAGTTTAAAGACTAAATAATACCTATGTTTCATATGTTGGTTAATTTTGTGTCTATTATGTTTGGTCACTTTGGTTTGTAAACTTATATTACATTTATGTAATTTTGATAAGTTAATCTATATATATGTTTTGAGTTTATGAAATGGTTTTCTCGTTTTGTAAAACTTGTGCCGGTTTTTTAATATGTTAAACGGAGACTGTCTTGAACTTTAAACCAAAATAATTCTATTGTGAATTCTATTTTATATACAAAGTACAGGACATAGGGCTTTGTCACGTATTTTATATCCGTATGGCATTATCGTAACACACTTAGCCTCTTTTAGGTCGAGGGTATTGTAGACTTTGTATCGAGCACAACAATTTTATAAGCTTAAATAGTATACGTAAACTTGAGCTCTAACAACACCATAAATATATAAGTGTGATCATTTTATATTATGTTTACATGATGAATTGTATAAAAATGCTTGATACTTGATGAACTATTTAATTATGTTTGAGTAAGTTAAATTCGATGATGAAATTTTTATGGGGAAAGGAGGATTTGATACCCAAGACTTCAAAGGTTCCTATATATTTATGTGTTTATTTTGTTAAGTATATGTATGCTATGCTTTATATTTACATTGATAAATATTTGGTTTTGCAAGTTCATGTTTTAAGTGTTATGAGTGTGTGAATGATTAAAAGACCTAAGTGTGACACTTAAAAGATTGAGAGCCTAAGTAACTTAAGTGAAAAAGTAAGGTGACTAGTTTGTTAAACTTTTCAAACTTACGAGACTCGGAAATATGTCTTGATTAAGTGTTACATACATGTATTAACTTAGAAATAAATCTTGATTAATTTTATATGTAAGTGTTAATCTAGAAAAAACATGTATTGATTAGGTGTCCCATATATGTGTGAACCTAGAGAAAATATCGAGGCTTAAGTGTCCCATATATATGGCAACCTTAAGCTTTCTTGGATTTTTCTAGATTTGACCAAGAGGAAAAAGAAGGGGAAATTGCTAGGTTATTTAGCCTTAAAAAAAATAAAAACAACAATATAGAAAAAATGAATTGACTAAGAGAGCAAATTTGGCTAAAAGAGAGAGAGGTTGGCCAAGATAAAGAGTTTAGTCGAGAGAAAGAAAGAGAGAGTTTGGCTAACGGAAGGAAACTTAGGGTAGCTTTGGTTAGGAGTGAAACAAAAGAGAAAAGTGAGACCTTTGAGACCTTTTAGAGTATTCTCAATAATAACTAAACCTTAAGGTAAGTGCACTCTAACCCACATAAGACTTAGATGTTATAGGGTTATTATGTATGTGCTTAATTGATGGTTGAATAACCGTGATGATATGCTAACTTGATGTTACTTGATTTGTGTTTATGTATTCACTTGATTATTGAATACTTATGATGATTTATTTACTCGATTATTGAATACTTGTGAGGTTACTAGATGGTTTCGAGGTTAAGTGTTTACTTGATGCTACTCAATTATATGTTTATGTGTTTATTTGATGATTGAACGCTTGAGATGTTACTTGATGATTTGAATTCATGTGCTTACTTGAGGTTTACACTATAATTGCATCCATGCCATGGAAATATTTTATAGTGATCTTAAGTATTCAAAGAAAGGTCATGTTCATGTTTCAAGAAGGGCTTGCAAAGGGAATGATCTAGTTTATACTCATCGTAAAGCGCACAACTAGACATATTTAAAGAAGGCTTACAAAGAAAATAATCTAGTTATATTCTTTATAAGGCTTTTAGTTGGATTATGCCTACTTTTTCCTAGTTTTCATAAAGTATGATTTTCAAACAAGGTTGAATAAGATATTCAATAGAGTATGTTCGAAAGAAGAAATGAATTTTGGCATAAAAAGTATTGTGTCCTTGTATTTATGCATTATTACACTTACTAATCTTCAACTTATAATTTGTCTTGTGGTGTAGTGAGCTAAATGATGCATAAAGACAAGCTACAACATAGAGGATACTCGTTTTGAGTGATCCGAGTTTGCCAAAGTATGTAATATATGTATAGGTTTAAAGTTTAAAGAGTAAACAATACCTATGTTTCATATGTTGGTTGCTTTTGTGTTTCTTATATTTAGTCACTTTCATTTCTAAACTTATATTACATTTAGGCAATTTTGATAAGTATATGTGTGTGTGTGTGTTTTGAGTTTATGAAATAGTTGTATATTTAGTGAAACTTGAGTTTATGGACTTTGACACCCGTTTCAATGGACCCATTAATGGGTTGCACATGGGAGATTCGTTGGGTGCATTAGGAATCCAATTGAGGTAGGTGTATGACTAAGATAGGACATATCATTCCTTTTATACTAAAGGAGTTATCACATTGCACTTTGATAAATGTCCGCTCAAGAAATCTGTGGCCATAGTAGGAGTACACCAATAGAACATAATTGGTTAACTCTAAGAGCTAAGATATCTAGGAATCGAAGAAAACTTATGTGATCATAATCGAATAAAACTAATAACTAAGTTCAAGATCGCACCGTGGTAAGTTGACATGAGGATTTAATTATATGGTAACCATGCTCGTGGAAGGTAATAATGGATTAACTAATTCTCCTAGAGAATTAGGTAGTCATGATGTCTTACTAGAGGCTAATCTTGATTTATGTATCAAAAGATAAAAGATGAATCTTTTATTCTTGATACATTGCCAACATATCTAGGAACCTATTGACTCACATGCATAAGTTTAAGTATTCAAATTATAAATGAGAAGCAAAGATATTGGAAAAAGTTTCCAATTATAAAAGGTTTTCTATTTTAGAAAGAGTTTCCAAAATAGAAAGTTTTCGAAAATGGAATGTTTCCTATTTTAGAAATCGATTTCCTAATTTGGAAGTTAGTTTCAAATTTGAAATTAAAGAACTTAAAAGAAAAGGAGTTTCCCATTTTAGGTTAAAGGGTATTTTGAGAAATTGCTTTCTACCTAACCAAAATAATATAAGAATATTTATTTGGATAGTCCAAATAAATTAATTAGGCTAAAATAGTTTTGGCCCATTAGATTTAATTAAAAGCTTTGAGATAATTTTGATGGGAGGATAAACATTAACCTTATTGGATAAGGTTGAATGTCTTAAAGATAATAATCAAATATTCCACATCTAAAAGTAACTCCTCCGTCCTTAGAGGATAAGGAAGCAACAATCTAGAGTTCTTTATAAACTCACAGACCACCCCTCTACTTGTCCTTAGAGTACAAGGAAACTCTCCCCCTATATATAGGATGAGAGGTGTGGCATAAAGGCCTAATGCAAGAGAGGAGATTTTGGTCAACATAAGGAAAAAAGGAGATGAAAAATT